GATCCCACAGCTTTGATTGATAGTACCATTTGGTATATCCCCATGACAATGATCTCCACACTTTATTTTAGATTTGAAATGGTCATAATCATCACTATCATCCTCGCTATCATTATCATTGTCAAGAGACAGGGAAATAGGGGGATGGTGGCTTTAGTTGCCCTTTGAAATAGAGTCTAGTTTTAGCTTGTTCCTGGGATGAACTGGCCAAAAGAGTGGGGACAAATTGCCAGTTAATTGTAAGGTTCTGCCATCTATGTTCTTGTTTGCATGAGAAGGAATTTTCAAGGCTACAAACTCGGGACTGGTATGAGCTAATTAGCAGAACTACTGTAGTTTCAGCTGAAGAGAAGGAGGGGGAGAAAGTGATGTTACTTTGGAGAAGTTACTTTTTTAGAGAACGTTTGGGATGATTCGAGGCCTGATTGCTGCATTCTCTTGAAAGGTCTGGAAAGTGGGATGATAGGTATAAAAATGGAACAAGAATTTGCCTAGTTTAGCCTAATCTCTTTTAGGAGAATGCTATGCTCACTTGCTGCTTTGTTACTTGCTTTGTACTCTTTACATTCTGGAACCTGAAATTCTGCTGATTGTGAGTAATAGCTCGGAATAGTTAATTTTCTGTAGGACTGTTCTGAAATTACCTTTGCCTCAGTATCTTTTGAATGTTTATATGCTCCATACCTTTTTTATTGCTTTTCGATTTTTGAAACCATTTTTGGAACTTAATTCTTTTTTACTTCTTTTAACAACATTGTCAATAAAATAATAAAATTTTACAGCAGTTTGGTTATTTAGAGAAAAGAGAGTTGTCTGGTGCCAAACAAGGCCCTACCTTGACCACCTACTGGATTCCTTATATTTTGTGCATAATTTGGTATTTCTACCTATCAGTCTTGATGTGCAGGCTTAAATGCTTAAACCTTTGAATTTTTGGTAACTCCCTGGCATACTGTGAGAGGGTATTAGGCAGGAAGATTTACTCCAACCATTAGTATATGTGGGTCTGAAATTGACCCACATCAGGGAAATTAGGGCAGTGTGGCTAAATGGTTAGTATGGGCTGCTCTGACTTGGCCGTAACGTTGATAATGTAGTTCTGCCTTCTGCTATATCAAAATTATTGTAATCTAAAATTCATTGGCTGAAATCCTGTTGCATAGTTATGTAAACAGTACAACTTTTGGACATAAATTGCTACAAGTTAAGACATCGCTGTAGATGTAATTGTTGTACACTGAGTCACACTACTCAATCACAGTACTGGATATGCAACAGATAGTGTCTACAGACACTTCTTGACCTACAGTAATGCACTTCCAAAAGTTGTACGGTTTGTTTAGCTGTGCAACAGGATTTCAACTATTATGTCTAAGTTATCCTTAGATTTTGAATTTTGAGAAGTTCTTCTCAGGAATCAACTAAAGAGCATTTTCAGGCATTTTCACCAAACAACATTGAATAGGTACAGCTCTTCTCATTTTTCAGAGGATCACTTTATATCTATCTACCAACTAGTTCTTAATAATAAGGAGGTTGGGTGGGGCAAAAAATGTCAGCCTATTTTAGCTTCAAGCTCTTGCCAAACCTTCAGAGATATACTTTAGTCATTTGGAATGGGGGAAAACTGTACAAAAGCTGGGAATCCCCCAAACAATGATCTCATGGGGGAAAGATGCACCTGAGGAACCCCCAAAGGGCTGGAGTCAGCCACATGGCCAGAGTTTCCCCACTCCTGACCTCCAGCATGCAGCTGTTGCATGGAGTTACGAATTTCCTACAATCAAGCAATGTCATCCACATGTGAAATCAGGCTCCATGCAGACACTGCAGCATCACATAGACTACAGACGGAGCAGATAACTCAGCTAAGTAAGTCAAGGCATAGAGTACAGACTGAATCAAACATTGGTTTATATGGTCAATGAATTCATTAGGGATGATTAAAGATAACTTACAAACAGTGTTAAACAAGCATATAGAAAATCTACTCTGTGAAAAATGTGAGAAAGAGTTTCTTCCAGTAACTGATGACTCCTGCCTACCAACTAATTGTCCAGGGCAATGATCCATAACCAAACGGACATACGTAGCTTGAACATATTTCTTGCATCAAAGGTCAACCCACTCACATTTTTCTACTATAAAAATTTTCATGAAGTTGACTGTGGTTTCAATTCTGTTTTAGCTATCACCTCACACATGGCAGTGCCAGGGCTTAGGGCACCAGCTGCGGTTCCAGACAACTGCTATATTTCTTCCAATTGCCCACATGAAAAGACAAATCTTCAGAGTGAGCAAGGCTAGAGGAGGAAAACCTTTGGTGTGTTTGTGTGTGTAAAATGGCTTCTATCTCCATTCACTCCCAGCTGGCATCAGGACTCCCTGGCTCAGTGTGAAAGTGTTTGTTTGTATGTATATTGCTCTAAAGGACTCCTCTCTCTATCCAGGCTTTTTAGCATGTTATCATAAGGCCCACTATGCTATCCAGGTCAGAGGAAGGAATGGAGCACCAGCATCACAATTCCTAATACTTCTTGTTGCACTAGCCCTGATAGCAGCACATAGCCTGTTAAAAATAACTCTTCTCTTCCAACCCTTCTTGCCTCTTGGACACCATAAGGGCCCAATCTCTGCTCTTAGGTTTTTGGCCCTGAAATCTCAGGAAACCAGCTTCTGCTGACTTGGTGTGGTGATTCTGCCCATGCTAGACAGTCATGCACAAATATTGTAAATTGTACTGCTAATGAGTGTGAATGCCTGAATTACTATATACATGCATAGCCTGAGAACTATTATGACCGGTAGCTGGATGATAGAAACTTGAATGCAGAACTGACTGTTGACTGATTGGTACAATTGGAATGTTTTGGCAGTGAGGCAAATGAGAGTCAGTCTGTTTTGAGAGTGAGGGTTCAGCTACACGGAGAGGGGGGGGAATGCAAAGGGATCAGCTGTGAAGTAGCACTTGGGAAGTCAGATTTCCCTTGGTGAATTTGCTTTAGCTAATTACATAGAAGTCTGGAGGGGGGGGGGAGGATGAGGACATTAACATTGTTTGCAGATTGTTAATTGTTAGCTGGCTGGACTGGTTTTAAATACAATGGCTGCAAACCTGTCCACATTGGCTCAAGTGATCACACCATCCAAATGGATGTGAATGCATTCACTTTCACAAAAAACAAACAAAAAACCAGAAACCCAGAAGCACCTTGTTGTAGACTGGTTCTTACCCACCCCTGGCTCCCATGATATCTGGTTAGCTAAATTTTCCTTCATAATCAGTTGACTTAGAGTTTTAGCTCAGCTCCCCAGTCCTGCACAGTCCTGCCACTGTACCATCACAAGGGCCATTCTGTCCGAGGACAATATGGGAACTATATTGTGTTCTAAATTTTTTGCCATGAAGGTCAAGGATTTGGATGTTGCTGACCTGCAGTTCTACTACATGCTCTTGGTCATATGATGCTATCCCATAAAAAAGGTTCTAATGAAGAACCAAGAGCTCAGTACAAGACATATTCAAACACGCATGCTTAGTCATGATGTAGACTGCAATTCATAATACTCTACCAACATAGACTAGGGCCCCCATATTGGGACCCCACATCATATTTCAGGAGGAAATCAGTTCTACATCTAGGTGCTTTCAGCCTCCAGATGTAAACAGGAGCTAGAAAGGAGTTGTTTCAAGCAGAATATTGGTATTGCCCCCCCCCAATCAGATGCAGCACATTCTGGATTGGGCCAGCAGGGTAACTTTTTCCTCACAAAAAGAAGTGGTCTGGCTAAGCACATTTGTTACTTAACATTAACTGAAACCCTGTTGCTTAGTATAGTATGTTGCAGCCCATTCAATTAGTGGGGATCCGATGAGTCTGCTCCTCTAACAATTCTGTTGATTCAGTTGGGCCTGTTCTAGTTGCAACTTACTATGTTAAAGCAGGTCACCATTAGAGGAGACCCACTTGAATCAATGGACCTTGAGAAGGTGTTGACTCACCAAATGTCCACTGATTCATTGAGCCTACTCTTACGTATATGACTAACTGCACTAAGCAATGGGATTTCAGCCACTATTAAATAACATTACATGCAGCTTGGCCCTAAGTGAGTTTGGCTGCCACCTTGTAGCAACACAACTGAATGCAAGAGCCTCTAACATTTCTCTTGTCCCTTTTTATTTTCCAGTCAGAGGCAAAACCTGGAATACATTTCTGTTGTTCAGCGGGCTCTTTGGCAAATGTCAAATAGTCTTGCATTTTCCTAGTTAGGGACAACAGAATATGTTTGATTCCTTGTAATGACATGGCCATTGACTCCACAGTATTTCAAAAAGTGAATCCTAGTCAGGTGCTAGGTGTGGATATTGTCAAAAATTGTGGATTAATTGTATCTGCATCTACAACCTGATCCCTGTCCTATCATATGGTCATCACATGCATTCTGAGAAGATCTCAGAAGCAAGACAATAGAAAGAGCACCACTTGAAAATATTTTAAACTTACAAATTATACATTTGGTTAATACATAGCATGCAATGATGACTCAGCTTTCTTCTATGTTAGAGGCACAAAATCAGTTCCATGTCACATGGGAGAAATTTTTTTATCTTCTTTTTTCAATTGTGGTACACACACACGTATTAAATTATCCTTTTTCTTCCTTTTGTGTGTGTGTGTGTGTGAGAGAGAGAGAGAGAGAGAGAGAGAGAGAGAGAGAGAGAGAGAGAGAGATTTTTAAAAAGCATATCCCTGTCTTTGTCATATAACGTGGTTAGAGATCCTAAGAGCCTGAGCAATTCAAAGCTTTGTTTGTTTAATGCACCTGAAAAACAATTTAAAACGGATAACAACTACTGTAATCAAGTAGAGGAGTTTGTATCCCACCTGCCATGTCCCACCAATCACTGCTATTGTCAGGAAGGGAGCATTTTAAATATGACCAAGCAGCACAGATGGGACAAAAGGAGCCAATCACTGTCCTCTGTATGATGCCCTGTGCTAGCTTATTGGCTCCCTGAATCATAGATGCAGATATAAACGAGCAGCGGAAAGCTTTTGAAGCAGTAACACTGAACTACCTGGGAGACAGGTAATTTTCTTTTGAGAGCTTGTTGCTTATGTTTGTCTTTAGTAGGTGTGATAACATTTGGTGTAGATGTTATATTACTTGCAGGTTCTTTGAGCTTGTATGCTTTTTATGGATTTCCTAGCTTGAAGAGGTGTATGAAATACTAAATTGGGCATTTTAAAATAAAGTACAAGCTCTGAGATTTTATAGTGGGAATAGAAGAGGGAATAGGAAATGTTAGTGTATTTAAATTCCTTTTTCTTTCAACTTGGTGTAATTTAACAGATTTTGTAACAAAATGGGAGTATTTGTTAGGTTATATCAATGCCTCTTTCAGTTGAAAAGACTGAATTATCACAGTCTTCTGTTATCTCTCTATGTAAACATTAACTAAGGTCTCCTGTGAAACAACTTGAATCTGCTTCTCCATCTTTTAACTTCTGCTTTTCATATCTGTTTAGATGATACAGTATTTTATCCCTTCTTTGTGATTTCTTACAATATAATTATTCTGTACAAAATTCATTTCACATTGAGCTTTGCAGATAGAATTGTGTTTACATTGCTATCTGTCTAAGCATAGAAATCAATGGATAAATATTTAAGATAGGATTTTTTAATATTTACTTGAAACAATTACTGTTATGTTATACTACAGAAAAGAGATGTGTACTGTACACATATTGACTATTAACTTCATATACAGTATTCATATTTAGCCACATTGCATATTTAACAGCATGAATAAAAATCAAATGTTTTAAAACTTTATTTTTTAAATCTTTTCCTAAGGTGAGTATATGAAGAGTAGTCGAAAACATACTATACAAGATGGTTGATTGTTTTTCCTGGGTGTAAGTACATAAATTATGAGCAGGAACTTAAGTAGGAAAGGAATCTTCTGAAGTTAAAAAGTGTTAAATGATTTCCAGACAGATAATTCAAGAATATAACCTGGAATGTCAAAATGTTATCTTAACAAGATGGTAAAACTTAGAAAAGTGTACGTTATGTCTTACAATCTTGCCTCTTTTAAGATCCTAACCTTTGACTTAGTTTTGAACATACTGCCGCATCTCATTACAAGAAACCACTTATAAACATTAGGAGCCAGTCCCTGTTTTAAAAGAGTCTTACATTCATTTGCCTCTGTATGTAATATTATAGAGTATTTCTTAGAAGGCTTGTTACAAATCATTCTTTCTGTTTCAAGAGAGGAATATGAACTCGAGTCCAGTGCTGATAGTACAGTATTTAAACCCAATTCCTGGAGGTAGAAATTTTTCATTGGCATAGAACTCTATCTGCATAGAATTATATATTTTGCATATGTTCAAACACAAGGAGACAACAACTTTTTTGTTCAGGCAGGCTTTCCCTTAAATGACTGGTTGACCAAGGTGTCCCCCCCCAATCATTTTTGGCTGTGTTTTGCTTGTGTTTGTAATTTTCCTCTTGTGAGTTTTAATAATTTATTTAATGATTTTTAATATTGTAATAATTTATTATTTTGCTGTTGACTTTGTTTATTTTAATATCATAAACTGCCTTGGATTCTCTAGGAGAAATGCGGTATATACATATGTAAAATAAAATAAATACATTTGAATATGTGAGGAGGAGCTCAGTCATTAGTTATTTGGGATTCCTTCTCTGTTCTCTTTATTAGTGGAACACTGCCATCCACTGCTGTTGATCAGCAGTTTCTGTTTAATAAGTATCTCGATAGGGATACGAAATAAGGCCTGTTGAAGATGTTCTAAACTTGAAGGCCAACATCTCTTTAAACCAAAATTGGACAGTGGTGGTCCTCCAGATATTTTTCAATTGCATCTCCATTTAATCCTCACCAGTGGGTACACTAGCTGAGAATGATAGGAGTTTTAGGTGAAAATAATCAGGAAGGCTAACCATCCTTCCTTCAGAATCCTACTCAGGCCACTTATATTGTTCTCTTAAAACCCAGCTAGTTGAATAGCTCAGTGAGTTAGGTATTTGGCTGTGGAGCTGGAGTTTGGTTCTAGCAGTAGAGCCAAAGCTCATAGATTTTATGAAGCAATAAAAGCATGACATCTTAGTTGCCTGGTAACTAAGCCGGTAAAAGGGCATCCTAGCTTCAATTATCTGTGCTTTTGTAAGCAGCAACCTCCTGTTTGCCTTAGTGCAAGGTGTTGTGAGACTACATTTGAAGGTAGTCCAGAAAGCCTCAGCTAGTTTATTTATTTTATTTTATTTTATTCATTTGATTTATATCCCACCCACCTGCAAGATTTGCAAACTGGAGGACTGAGCAGGGCAAGGATATGTTGGTGCTCTGCTGTCTTTACTAGATCCCAGTTCACTTCCCCCTCCACCACCTTCAAAAAGTTCTTAATTTCATAGACTTTTTACTAATACATGAATTTATCACAGGCCCAGACAAGAGAAGTAAAATACATCTTACATGAATTCAGAGAATTGGTGTATCTTCAAAGCCCTTTAAAGCACCATTGAGGTGGCCCTCCTGATATTCTTGATGTTTGCCTGATTCTCTCTCTAGCCGAAACAACAGATTCGGAGGGGGGGGGGGAGACGACAGATGGAATCTGAAGTGATTCTTGTCACTGTTCATGAGGCCAAGCCCTGCTGTGTGTCAAAAACAGTGCCTAATCTGTATTTTTCTTCTCTGGCTCTTACCCTTGTACTCTTAAAATATAAGAAGAAAGGTCTCTGGAGTGGGGCAGTGGGGCAGAGGGTGGGTGGGTGGTTGGCAGGCAGAGAGGCCTACTGTGGGGTAATTGACTATGCTGAGCAGCAGGATTTTGGTAAATGAGTTTCTTCCCTTTGTTAGAGTAAAGGTTAGAAATGGTTTGCCAGCCTCTGGAGAATGGCAATACCTCTAATGAATCATATGCTGGTATCCAGGTTCAGTACTGCTGCCTTGAGTGCTTCAGAAATTTCCCCAATTATGGAAGTATTTATTGAATCCGAAACTGAAAAGAAAGCCACAATATTTACAGTATTTTTAAATCCTCATATTTTCTTTAATTGCATTTGCCGGTTAGGCTGGGACATCTAGGGGCTATCTCATGCCCAAAATTTCCACCCAGGGATCATGATATCTGAATGCTCATATATCTCCTCATGTATATTGACCTTGAACATCTTTGATGTGGAACAGTGGTTCCCAGCCTTGGCTAACCTAGGTGTCCTTGAGCTGCAACTCCCAGAAACTCCAGCCATCGCAGTTGGTGGCGAAGGCTTCTGGGAATTGCAGTCCAAGAACACCTGGGTTACCCAAGGTTGGGAACCACTGGTACAGAGTGTCCATGTGTCCTCTTCTGTGCAGAACAGTGCTCCATTGTAAGGACTGCCAAAGGATAATCCTATTTTCATAGGTGTTGTCTTTGAAGGTCTGTCTGTTTCAAGCCTGATTTAAAGATAAAGAACCATAAAGAAGGAGGTAAGGCACTTTGAATTTCTGCATCTTCAGTGAGTACCTAGACAGCAGACTAAGCATGTGGATGGGTCGCTCGGTCAGTCTTTACCACCTGAGGGAGAGGCCTTCTCATTCTGTTTGAAACAGAAATGTTATTTTTAATTCTGCAACTGTACATATACATCTGCACATGAAAGTATCTGCAAATTTTATTGGATGCCCCTTTAGGCCATGTGAGAGGACAGAAACAGGCATTACAGATATTGTGTATTTAGGAGAAGAAAAATCCTTGAAGGCTGGTTGGATGAGAGTGTCACATGAGGTGCTTTTCTCATCTCATGTAATTTGCAAATTAGCTTGTTTTGTCTTCTGGTAGGTCTTTACCACGTAAACACTTTAAACCTTCCCTCTCAAACATGAAAGACTACCTCAGTTAGGTCTGTTATGTCTGTTTCTGTACTAAGTGGCCACCCTACTTTGGAGGTCCTGTTCTAAATGACCATGCCAGGTGAGGCGCTGCAAGTAGCTGCTGGAGCCTTTTTGGCAGGTGGCACCTCAGCTCTGGAATATCTTCCTCTAGTAATTCCCTTGCTATAATTTTGGCATCAGATCAAGATTTCCTTATTCATCAGGTTCTCTCGGCCTCCTTCTGCAATGATTCACTTATTTGGTCCCTGCTACGTATATATTTTAGTGCAGCGAACACATCAGTTTTCCTTCAAGGAGGGTGTTCACCAATAAATCAGTTACTCGAGAGGAGAAATCATTCTGGTCCCTAGCCGCCCTAGCATTCCTTTGCAAACGTGCTGTTTTGTGGTCGGTGGTGATCCTTATAGTTTAAAAAGTCTCCAGCTGGGGTCTGTTATCACCTTCACTTGATACTACTTGAGCTTATCTTTGTCCTGTAGGTATGTGACTTTGCTCTCAGTCCATTAGATTAATTTAGCAGGACAGACAGCACCACTTTGCTTAGAAATGCATCGAAAAGGAAAGAAAAAAAAAGCTGACAGGTTCAGGAAGATTTAACAATTTCTAGACTCTGTTTAAAAGTCTCATACAAAGTGCAAATTGCGACTTACTTCCAAGCACTGCATTATTTGCTGGCCTGCTGAAGATGCTCCTCTTATTCCTAATAATTTCCCATGTGCTTCTACAAATGGAAGAAAACAATAATAATTAAATCTGGAAAATTGTCGGAACGTCCTCGAATAATGGATGTGATTGTCATCTTTGATCACTTCATGTTGCCTTTTAAAATGCAAAAGTTCATGATGCCAATAGTGTGTCTGGCATTGGTGCCAGGTTAGGTAAATTGGTTAGCATCCCACCCCTTTTGAATTAAGAGCTCCTTGGCTGTGGAATCGCAGCCTCTGGCCAAAACATTAGACAGAGTGAGGCAGCAGCTTCAGGTGGCAGATGCTGTAGGGAGAGAGAGAGAGAGAAGCTTCTGGAAGACAGCACGTATTGCATCTGTCAATACACCCAAGGCCTAAACTGAGGTGTGATGCAGAATGCATCAAGGAACATTCAAGCTAAAGATACCTGTATCCATCACTGCTAACAAAGTCCTTCACAAGGACAGATTTCCAGAAATCAAAGTTGGCCATCACCACTATAACTGACGACATTAGTCCCACCTGGGAACCTGCCAAGCAGTTATCACTTGGCAGGTGTTTGGCAGCTTTTATGGTAAATCTCAGGGCTTAACTGCAAAGAGGGGTAATTACTTCACGAATGAGCTCATGGAAGGTGTATCAAGCATCAGCTGCCTTTTGTTACATATGTGGGAATTTCTGGTTTCCAAATGGACTCTGTGCCTTAGAAGAGGTGGACTTATGCCAGTGTTATCAACAGCAAATTTGGCAAAAGTTCAGTAATGCTGCCCAATGGGAGTACAAGAAAGAAAGGGTGTGTCGGGGGGTGGGGGACTTTGAAAGTACCGAAGGAGTACCTTAAGGAAAAACAAAAAAACAATAGCAAATGTTAGATTCCCAAAATTGTTGGCCAATCTGAAGCATAGTGCAGCTTAACTAAATTGCTTCCACCCAATAGAACAACTGAGGAAAAGAGTGACAAATTCATCCTTCCATCCAAAAATTCCAGGAGCAAAATTATTTTGTGAAGTGCATTTTCAACTGTTAAAAGCAGGATTGGCTGTATCATTCTCTAGCCTAGTGTCCTCCCTGCACCCCAACATTTCTTGTCTGGTATGTTACTTGCCAAAATAGGGCTGGACTGGAACTGATGATACATGTGTAATATTCAAAGGCAAAGAGAATCCGCAAACTGGACGTATAGCTTTATTAGGTGCAGAAGTGGTGGAGTTTGGAAAAATTACTTGTTTGACTAAGTGTGCAAATACACTGCAATTTAATTCATGGTCTTTATTGCATTTGAAATAGCAGTCAGTGCTCCCCAAGGGGATGTGGATTGATTCAGGAGTGTATAGTCCATACTGTATGCAAATGTAACTTACATTTCAGCCCACAACCCCCCTTCTTTCCTTTCTTCCTCTGGTCCCACCTCTGCCAATCTTTCCATCCTCTGATCCCTCCTCTACATGTTTGAGGAACTGACAGAGGCATAAGTATAGGAAAGACTAATAACAACGACCCAACTTACATATATATGTAAGTTTTATTTTTATTTTTTTAAATTGGGAGGACAATTTTTGCAGGGAGGAAAGAATGCAGGGGTGTGATTCTCCGGGTCCTGAACATTATGCTCTAATTGCCTATGTCAGTGAAACACCACCAGTGGACATGCACATGTCTTTACAAGAATATGTCACATCTAACCACATGGGGAAAATCCTGTTCAAATTGTTCCAATTTGAAAAAGTAGAAACTCCCCAGCGGCAGAGGGGAAAAAAAACTTTGGGAGCAAAAAGCAGCTTTCACAGCAGCTTCAGAACATATCTCTTTACTGTTTTTAGTGGGGGAGATTGTTGGCAGGCTTGCTTCTTTTCATTTCATTGTATCTTTGTCTACTGAAGTCAATAACCATGAAGTACTTGGTGTGTAATCAATGTTTGAGCCTTTAGGTAATTCTCAGTTAAACCTTTGAACCCAGGAAAGCATGAATTAGAGAAAATACAAGATAACAAAGACTTCCTTGGTGCAGAAGTGAGGGGAGGAGAAAGAGAGGATACAGCTTCCTCCAGTTCTTGTATAAAAACGAAAATTGCTGCTCCTGAAACACCTTTAAAATAAGGTTCATCCTGCTGCACAACCTCGGTTTGTCCTTAGCCCACCCCAAAGAGGTTTTATGAAACTTGAAGTGGATTTCCTATGACTTCTAGTTTCATTTGCCAGGGCTAAAGAGGCCATCCTGAGACTGCATGGAGAAACGAGTGCCCTAGAGATGATTGCTACCTTCTTGCTTTTGTGCCACCTAGCAGCAAAGATCCTGGATGGCAATATAATTGCAGTGATAACAGGCATTGTAGAAACGGTTCTAAATAACAAACAAACAAACAAACAAAAAACTAGTGTTTGGAAAGATGCTTTAAAGAAGAATGAGTGGACTGACATGCTGCAGCTGTCAGGAACTGAACAGTGATAGCATGATGCTTCTCCACCATGAACAACACCCTATTGCCACTCAGTTATAGCTGTCATTTTATTCATTCATCTTAAACAGAACTGTACAAGTGGTGCTAAACAAACAAGCAAGCAAACACATAAAGACCTTGAGTGATGCTCAGTGTATCCGCTTTTCAGCCTCCAGAACAGAAGAGGTGGGGTGCTGCTCACAGTGGACTCAAGACATGAAAGGAAGGGAGGATTTGCAAAATAATTTTTGAACTCTATGGAATGTGTAACATCTGGAGTATTTCAATGTGGTTTCCTAAAGTAATCACTCATTAAATTGTGGCCAAAGGCTTAGGTTGAGTACATTTAAGTTCCCTCTTCTTACATAAGCTATCGTGACACCTAACAAGAATGCCATTCTCTTTGGCTACCAAGCCTTTGTTTTCTGCAGAGAAACATTACAGTCTATGCCAAAGCTTGGCTGGTGGATGTAGTGGGCCATCGTTACTCATGTCTCTTTTAGAGAAATGCTTTTTTTTCTTCAAATGTAGTTCCATTGCTGTCTTATGGTACTTTATAGTGTTAAAATGCTAAAATAATTACCGGTAATTAATAAAATTCATTTAACTAAACCTGCAGATAATCTAAACCGAAGCTGAAGATCAAAACACTTGTTTTTCTACATTCTCTTTTCCAGTTCACAATGGCTTCTGTTTTCACATCCAACAAAACAATCAGAGTTTGTCCTTTCCTCAATGGTGATGTGGAGAACTCGGAAACTAAAAATAACCACATGTGGATTGCTCCCAATACACCCAGCAGATGCACGTGGAAACCAGGAAAATCCATCAGGGAGTCCCCTCATGGCTGTGTGCCCTTGTAAGTAGCAAGTCCGTTGCTGGCAGTGTGTTGGGGTGTTGTATTCTTCTTTCTTCTACTCACCTTAGCCTAGAGAAAGAATCCAAGCTTCACAAACAGCGTGCACAACAAGGGTGCAGTAAACACATTCTAGGGAAACTAGAGCTCAGAATGCAGCGTAGTGTCATGTCCATGTAACACAGTGTGGTTTCCATGTGGCTGGTTATACATTTATGTGAACCAAATGCACAGTCATCCATGCAAATGCATCAATGTGTATTTTTTCTCCAGGTAGGGAGCCTTGCTGAACCTCCTGTGGCATTAACAGGTCGGTGGAAGTTCAGTGAAGTGAACTGAGCAGCAGGTTCTTCAGGATGATTGCTTAACAAATAGCCCAGATATATTCAGTCACAGTTTTACCTTGACATTTTGATTGTGTGGATTGAGAGACTGTAGTAGATGATTGTGCTGTACTGCTGGTAACCAAAAGGCCTTTCTATTCAGGCAGGTCTTTTGCATTTACAGGCTACTGTTAAAAGGACTATGGAGAATTTGTCAGTCTGAATCCTGTGGAGATTCAGATTGCTAATCTGTGGAGATCTAGCCAAGCAGAGCCAGCTTTGGGTGTGTGGTTGTGCTGACAATCTTGTCAGGTTTCCTTCCACCATAGAGGTAAAACAAAATGTGACATAAGAATTTGCCTAAAAACTACCAACAGAGTATGGTCTGAATGGGAAGGCGCCTTCCCTATTTGAACCATAGGCCACCCTGGAAAGAACATTGAAAGGGTGGGTTTCTGCCCCAAAACAGCCATGATTTCCAATTATAAGTGGGAACAATTAGTTAACAGGGGATGGGAGAAGTAGCATGGAGATGTTCTTATATCTCTGAATGTTGTGATGAACCTTGTGTAATAAAGCACTGCTCACTTCTCTTATGCTGGCACAATTTGCCTATTATTCTTTGAAAGTCTTACAAATAACCTCTCTACTTAAGAGAGGGCTTGTCTGCATACTGATGAGTTCCCAGCAATCACATCAATGATCACAATGGGTTTTGCCAGATAAGTAAAACTAGTGTGGACAAGATGTTCCAGCAAAGAGGTTTTGCAGAAGCTGGGGTCCAGCTCACAATGAACATGTATTTAGGAAGTATGAAATCCCCTTGCCTTCACCAAGATCTAGAAACCAGTATTAATCCAACTTGAAGTAACTACAATGAAGTGTTTCCCAGGGGCCATGTTAATCCTCCTGGCCATTAAACTATGTGAGAGGAAGGGAGGAGAACTAAGCCACCCACCCTCCTTTATCAAATGTACAGGGTGTTCTAAGAATGTATGTTTTGCTATGGTATGGAGGATTTTCTCCTTTGGCCTTGTGCAAGATGGTATAAATCTCTACGTAACATAAGAATTGTGCCATCTTGCAGAAGGCCAAGGAGAAAATCCTCCCTAATGCTTCCTGCAATAAAAATGAGTTAATGATCAGCAGAAAGATTTCAGCCTTGTTTGGGACATCCTGGTGACTTGGTTATTTTATTGTTAACTCTGTCTTTTAGAAACATTCTGTGATTTCAGCACAATATGTCTTTGATGCTAATATTTCATACATCTTTAGACCCACTGCCTATGTAGTTTCAGAAACTGGCAATACTGTATATTGTCTGCAGTTTTATTACACGATGAGAGATACTGTGTATTCTGAAACATTTTGTGGAATGCAGTTGCATGAATGTCACAGTGCCTATTGAGTAAAAGCAGTAATGTATTTCTTGTGGACTCCCCCCAGTGGCCATAATGACTGGATCAGACTCAGATTTGGTTTGATCTGCTTTTCTCAACAAATCAAGATGGCCAGTTAAGATTACCTTCAGTATATTGCAGTGGGTGCAAGTGTTTTGTACAGCACCTAGTTTCTTAGGCACATCATAAACAACAGACATGTCTGCTGGTTATAGCAGTGGTTCTTAACCTTGGGTTACTCGGGTGTTTTTGAACTGCAACTCCCAGAAGCCTTCACCACCAGCTGTGCTGGCTGGGATTTCTGGGAGTTGCAGTTCAAAAACACCTGAGTAGCCCAAGGTTAAGAACCACTGGGTTATAGCATAGATTTCTTTTAGGACATGGCCCAGTTATTGATGTGAAGTGAAAGCATGGTGTGGTTATTTGGGGGTTGGGTTCAGGTCTTATTGAACTGTGAGTTGCCTTTTATTATCCCTTTGTTCTTCCTTGATATAGTGTACTTGAATATTTTATTACTTAATAATGGTATTGCTATATTTTAAGTTGTTAACTGAAAGTTAATTACAGATTTACTGTAGAATTTTAGCTGTCAGGTTCATGTTACTGGGGGTTAAATATATTATGGCATATATTATTGCATGATGTATATATTATTGCACTTGGTTTTGTATGTTGCTAGCCACTTACAGCTCCTTCATGGAGCAGGGAGAGGAATACATATATGATGCTGCTGCCAATGTGTCTTATTTTACAATATTCTTCTTTCTTCTCACGCAGAAAGAAGGAACCAAAGATTATGTCAAGTGTTTTGGAGAAAATTGGACATACCCCAATGGTCCGTATTAACAACATTGGAAAAGCCTACGGACTTAAGTGCGAGCTCTGTGCGTACCTCTTTTGTCACTACTCACTTGTCAGGCCTCCTGTGTTGTACTGCAGAAATTAAGATGGAAATGAAAAGGGAAAAGTTTGAGCCACTAATGACTAACACAGCACACTGCAGGCTTCCCCAGCCTGTTATCTTTCAGATAGGTTGAGCTGCTGCTTCCATCATCCCCAGCCAGCATTCTAGATGAGGATCCACAGGGGTTGTAGTTCTACCCATCTGGAAAGCACAAGGTTGTGGGAAGCTGGCATACAGGGTACTGATAAATAGAAATGAGAAGAAAATGAGGCAGGGCTGACAAGTTTGAGAGGAGACAAGAATTCTCTTTCAATCACTTAATAGAAAGGAGAATTTCTGCAAACTGTTGCGGAATAGAAAGGAGAATTTCCGCAAACTGTTCCGCAAACTGTTTTCTTCTCCCATTGTTGCTGCTCTAACACCATCTGCCAATTTTTCCCTCCTAAGAAACATTCAGTAGGTTTTATTGATAATTAGTTTGCAGCAACCTCTCTCCCTATTCTTTAACAAATATACAGTATGCAAACATGTAGTGGTGCTTGGATCTTGTGATGGTTTAAATTTTATTCATCTGGGGCTCCTAAATGGGGTCAGAGAAGAAATTCAGGAAAAGTGATGGCTTTCTCTGATATCATTTTCTTGATCAAAATTGAGAAAACACACAATATTTTATTTGGATATAGGTAGTGGTATCTTTACACCATTCAGAAAAAAACACAATTCAGTAAACAATAGATAAATCCAATTCTGAAACTGGGATGTGAGGGTACAGCCATCCAGCAGGGAAAATATGCTTTGATCCATTGTGATTCACATCCATGGAAGCTAGGTTTCCAGGAGTGAAAGTGCTATAGCCATCCAGATGACAGTTTTCAGGAGTCAATGGGTGCAGAGGCCAGAGAGCTTGATTTGCATGGAACTCCAACAGCCGAAACAGCCTTAAGGTGCTAACAAGTGCTAAATGGCAATCTAGCAGACAATCCCTGTCTTTTTTTTATTGTTCTCCTAAGTGCCCCAGTGATTTTTTTCCCCCAGTGCTGAGTTGAAGCATACTTTTTTTTTAATGAAATGGTTTGGAGACAAAGGATGCTGCATTGCATCAGACCAGCCTTGCTAGCTGAAGAAACAAACAAAAAATTATGATTCCCTGCTCAAAAAAAGACGATTCCACACCAGCCGCCCCTGCACTGAGCTTTATGTCATTTACTCACTGGGCTTTAATTTGAATCCAGTATAATATAAATTGCAGGGTAAATGGCCCTGCTAGTCTGCAAACTGGAATGGATATTTGTTTACATGTGGAAATATTTTGCAATCTTGATTAAGAGGCTCGGAGACATTTGACTTGTGGACAGCATGTCTATGCAGTGCTTGGGGAATGAGGGCAAGAGGGATCAATTACCCTCATGACCTAATTGTGGGCTTCTCAGAGGAACCTGCCTGGACATGATGGAAAACAAGATACTGGACGGCTGGTCTCTGACCCAGCAGAGCTCTTTTTATGGTGTATGCTATCAATATAATCATATCAAACTTTTCACCCTTCTGAGATAGGCTCATTTCAACTTTATTGAAACTACAGAACATACTTTAAAGATAGCTATGATTCCATTCCCTAGATTGACATGTCTTGGGAACATCTGAAGCCTTCACTGCATTGGGCATATCCCAGGCCAGGGATGGGAACATATGGCTCTCCAGATATTACTGGATTCCTACTCCCATCATGCTTCAAACTGGCTAGAGCTGATGGGAGTTGCAGTCCAATAACATTTGACAGGCCACAAGGTTCCTCCTTTCTGTCCGAGGAAATATTTAGGTTGCAGTTAGAGTCAAATTTGCATCTTTCCTTTTACAAACCAATCTGTGATAATGAGATCTTTCCCTGGAAGGCTGAGAGCAATACTAAAGATCTTCATTCCACTTTTAATTTGATGTGAAATTTTAGTGGCCAAGTGTGAATATTTTAATGCCGGTGGGAGTGTGAAGGACCGAATCACCCTAAGGATGATAGAAGATGCAGAACGAGCTGGCACTCTGAAACCTGGGGATACCATCATTGAACCAACATCTGGAAACACAGGTACTGTATACAAGATGAATCAAAAAGCTTCCCAATGGAGGTGTTAATAGTTGGTTTTTCCCTGTGATAAAAAATACTCCTGACAGCACCTGAGGCACTAAGCCAAGGCCCACATTAGGAGGCTTCATTCCTACATAAGGAACCAACTAGGGAGACTCCATTATATGACAGGAATAATGATGGTTGTGTCTGTGTTTGCTCCCTTCCCATCTTTATTGCTGTTTTAAATAAAAGTGTATCCTTAATAGCTGGCAGAGGAGGACACACAAAAGAACATTAAAAGACCTTTAAAAATGCCTCAAGGATCCCCAATGAAACTGAAAAACGTGAAAGAGCTATGTGAGTGCATGTGTAGATATTTAGGATTCCTGAAGCAGCAAAGAATCATGTGCTAAAGAATAAAATGCCATTTTTAAAAGCTATTTTTGAAAAATGAGTATTCACAAAAAGTTATTTTTTTTATCCAGAGATCACTGTATTCTGTAAAATTATAGACATAAAATGACCAAAAAAGCTATTGAAGAGATTGGGTTGAATTCATTGTACAGGAAAGGATTGCTCTGGAGAGGTGGGGGAAAAATTTAAACTGGGGGAGAGGAACCAACTAGGTGGGCACTCCTCCAGCCCACCAAGATATAGAAGACCACCATCCATTCTTTCCAAAGAGTACCCAGTATTCTCTGTGTATTTCTGCAGATTCTCATATCAGAGGCAGAAGCTGCAAAGTTTGAAAAAGTTACTTTTTGAAGTATAGTTCTCAGAATCCTCCAGCCTAACTTTGACCAGCTCTGCTTACTTTTACCCCAGTGATGCACAATTGCAGATCTTACAAAATTGGCTTTTAAACTCCAAGAAGATTTCAGCTGTATTGGTCACTAGGTATGCTGATCAGGCCTTTCTGGAAGCTGTAGGTTAAAATAAGGCAACATTTCAAGAACCTTGTACTGAGTGTGGCCCCATTCTCTTCTTCGCGTTCCTGTCGAATTTTTCAATTGTTATCAAGTAGAGCAGCAATGACTTGAAAGATTATTTGAGTTATAGAATATAGAACCAACAGGGGGCAGTATAGTCATTATTCCCCACAGGCAGGGAAGTCAGGAGTTTATTTGGTTCCCTTGCACTGTCACCTAATTCTTGAATCTCCGCGTAGCCTTATCATATAAGTGAAGGACAGCTGTCTCTGTCATTTATTCCCGAGGAAAGAAGAGCACTCAGAAACACTTTTCAGACTTTGTCATGGGAAGAGATTAACATCTGTGCAGTTTTGCTCTACATTACACACAGATTAGGTGCCATTTATTTTCCAGTCCTATAACGAAACACGAGGATTTTATTTGTTTCTGCTTCGTTCATTAGAAAGAGGCTGTTACTCTTCTATTTAGCACAATGGAAGGCATTATTACAAGGGTGGGCAGAATATGCCCCCTGGGCCTAAAACCCTCTCCTAGCCCTCCCCCAATATATAATTTTTAAAAATCCCTCATAAAGCCCCTCGTGTTTGCCCCTTGGAGGGGAATTCTGCCATCTTTGGGGGGAGCAGCTTTCCTGTCCCCACATCCCAAGCAATTTTAAAACATTTTTAAAATGGTAGTGGAGGGAGAAATTGGCCTTTTCTAGTGAGGAAAAAATGTTTTAAGATAATTATTATGGGGGGAGGGGAGGGAATTGGGCAAGGTCCTCCAAGGTCTATGGGGGTGTGTGTGTGTCTGCACCTCCAACACTTCTGGGAGTTGCCTGCCCCTGCTTGATTATGGTCTCAGCAATTGTCCTGCCTGCATATACCGTGCTTTCCTGAAAATAAGACAGGGTCTTATATTAATTTTTGCACCAAAAATTCATTAGGGCTTATTTTCAGGGGATTTTTTTTTCATTTACAGCAATCTACATTTATTCAAATATAGTCATGTCATCTTCTTCTGGTTGCTGCACAATGGTGGAGGGTGGGTTTCACTTAACGGGGCCTTATTTTGGGGGTGGGGGCTTACATTACGAGCATCCTAAAAATCATACTAGGGCTTATTTTCGGGGAAACAGGGTAGTTGTGTACACTTCAATGGTGATTCTAAGCCTCAGGGACCCTTAATTCAGAGCATAACAAACGTCTCTGTGCGTTGTAGGAAGGACTCTTTATGAGCCTGAACAATCTAAACAGCCATTTTCCAGGCTTCCAGGTGAAACTTTTCTGGTTGTTTTTTGTGTCCTCTAAGCCCTGCCCATCTATAGGTAGTTCTTGGAATGGCCCAGTGAGGGCTAAAAACCTAAGATCCTCTATAGGATTTTGGTACTGTCTTATATTCTTTCTGTCCACCTCATCTTCTCTCATGGGGGAAGACAGCAGAACTTGGAAAGGTTACTGGTGATGATTGCTAGAGTATCCTGGCAGTTGTAATCCAAAAACAGAATCTTTTCACTCTCTGGAAGACAAGCGGTAGAGAGCAAATGACATCCCACTTTTCTAGGAGAAGCCACAATGTTCCTTTATCCCAGGCACTTGGGCAAGATGATAGAGAAAAGGTAGCTGAGCTGTTTGTCCTCTTTGCTTCAGAATGTACTGTTTCTAGAAGGCTCCTGCATTCTTCATAGTTAAGTTTGGGTGGAGCAGTCCCAACATAACATTGTGTCGCAGCAGCCAGTGTATTTCATCCTGAGGTCTTATTGTAATTTTGGCAATAAATGTCCAAGATTCTCAACAGAAACCCAAAGGTTTCCTGCTGAGGATATACATTACAAGTTACAAGAAGTGAAAGCATATTAATGTTTCAGGCTCAAGATACAATTCAGGCAGTATTTCATGTCTGAGGAACCAGTTGTGTAAATGGACACTGGGCTATTATGTCTGGAAGACCATTCACAAAACCCAACAAGCTAATTTGCAAATTACAGGTGGTGAGAAAGTTTGTGCTATAGCGCATCATCAACACCCTTTTAATGATGGATTATCTGCAGTGTATACTTTGGCCTTTCCTTCCTTCCTTCCTTCCTTCCTTCCTTCCTTCCTTCCTTCCTTCCTTCCTTCCTTCCAGAGCTGACATTTTAAGTGAAGATTTGTAATCTTACAAATGGAAAAGAGGGACAGCTGCAGACCTTGCTACTATAACTCCTGTTGATCTTGCTCCTTTCTCTTTAATCCTCCAGGGATTGGACTTGCCTTGGCAGCAGCAATAAAGGGTTATCGCTGCATCATAGTCATGCCAGAGAAAATGAGCATGGAGAAGGTGAGAGTCTTGAGTGTTTCGATATAAATAGCGCAAGCACCAAGTGTCTGTTTTATTGTCATAGCTTTCCCAGTCTTCCCCCAGTAAAACCTAAACCAAAAAATCTGGGCAGTTGTGTTTCTGAGGCTGCTGGGGGTTATTTGTTATTTCACAGTTCTTTTTGTGGGGAATCGTTAACAGTTAAATCCAGAATATATGTGGTGTTTGTTTTAGGAAATGATACCATACTCTCAATATCATTACTACAGACTATAGTTATCTGCTGGATTTGAACAATAACTCAAAAGAATTCTAAGATGGCTTCCAACAGATTGAGAAACAGCTGCCAGTTTAGCAACTGCTGGAGAAGATCAGTCAAATATCTTTGTGCTGAGATGATGCTGTTTTGTGCACTAAAAGAGAAAATAAGTCCTTTGACAAGAAAGAAGCCGATCATTCATACAAAGGCTGTACTGGGACTTTAGTTAAGATCTTCTTCTGTACTTTCAGGCAAAGATTATGTTTCAGAAACTAGTTTTCAAGCCACGGAGGCAATGATTCTCAGGACACAAATATATTGGATAATACATGTCCATCTTCCAGATAAATAGAGCAGAATTGTCCTCTGTAAAACTGGGACAGTTTGGATTTGCAAATAGTGTTTTCCTTCCTCCCAGGACTAGCTGTGAGATAAAATGGTGCCATGCCTTGAGAAGTCATATATTTTCAAGGTTTACATGGCATTTTTGGAGAAGCAAAGCACATCAAATATTGGTCCGATTTGATCACTTAATGGGAGTAGGCAGGTGTGTTTTCCCGTGCGTTGTGTGATCACAGGAAATAGATTGTACCAGATCACTCCACAAGTGATCCAAGTTGTGATCTAGTTTCCCATGTGATCACACTCTCAGATGGATTTACAGACCCTTCCTGCAAATATGGACATGCATATCTGCGCATCTCCCTGGTGCCACTAGAACTGCACCAGCAATGAAATAGATGAGAAAGCTTTCCTTTTTGGGGTGCAGATTTGGCTGAAATTAATGGAGCAGCCTTTTTTTTAAAAAAAGAAGAAACTTGATCAAATGCACCTGGAATTCTGGATTTGAGCAGTGACCTTCAGTGAGACTAAGGGAGCAATCCTGTGTGCATTTTCCACTGTAGCCACTGCAGATCTACTTTTTCAAAGAAGGCAGCCATGTTAGTTCATTGCAGGGGGCGGGGAAACACCTTTAAAACCAACTCATTTTAGTTGGCGTAAACTTTGATGGACTGCAGTATAAATCCATGCATTCTTTCTTATACTGTAGTGGCCATGAAGCCAGTAGAGGTATTGGCTGAGATCACGTTGCTTCTGCTTTTAATTAACCATTTTAAATATGTTTGTCTGGTCTTTAAGCTGGACAGGAACTCTATGTTGCAACATACCATGTGTGAAATGCTCATTGATCTTGCTTTGAAGATTTGAAGGTTGGGAGCAGCACAGTGCATGAAGATAATTTAGTCTCTTTTTCTTTTTCTAGGTGGATACCTTGAGAGCACTTGGGGCTGAAATTGTAAGAACGCCATGTGTGAAGTATGATGATCCAGAATCAAATGTGCGCATTGCCTGGAAACTAAAAAAAGAAATTCCAAATTCACATATTTTGGACCAGGTAAGCTGATTCTAGTAACCTTTTCTTACTCTGTAGACTGGGCTAGTTCATTTTTTACTTCTGTTCCTTCAGGGTTTTTTTATATTTATGTGAGATGTAGAAATATGTGATATGGGCAGAGCAATCCTATCTGTCCAGAAGCTTGTTACAGGGATTAGGATTGGACAGAAGTGCACCTGGAATTCTGGATTTGAGCAGTGACCTTCAGTGAGACTTAAAATGGAGTGGGAGCCATTATAACTGACAAAGCATTTGCCCGAGACACATGATTGGTAAAGTCCTTCTTTCATTGGAAAGGGAGAGGCAGCTGCTGTGGGCGGGCAACGTTGTGTCTTCTGAGATCCCAGGCCACTTCCAAGATAAGTATCTTGTACAGGGAGCAAGACGTGCAACTGTACCCAAATTGGACCTGTGTATGCCATGTGACCTATCCTGCACCCTCCAGACTTGCCTGCTGCCCTTAGCTGTCGCTGAGGACAAGACCATGTTACCACTGGGTAAAGAAAGATTCAACTACTAGTTTAACCTGCTTCTGTATTTGGAGCAGGAAAGGGGTGCCATCTTGTCCTTTGATTTAAGTAGCAAAATGTATTGAGCCAACTTTGATAATATCACTGAAATGTCCATTCCAAATTATTCATTTCAAGTCTCACTTTGGGCTGTTAAAAGTTTCTGGATTGTTTTCAAAGGCAATGTTATCTATATTACCCTGCAAAAGCCCAAACAAGAAGTTACTTGGCATGGGTAGCTGTGACCAAAATGTCCCCATCCAGGGACACGATCCAGTTGGGTTTTATCACATGCAGAGCAAAAGTCATGACTGGAGATATCTGGCGAGGTGCAAGGAACACAACCCACCTCGTGCAGCTTCATGAAGCCCTAGAGGCACCTGGGTGGGCTCAGTCAAGAGATAAGGCCAAATGAACCATTGCTGTGATCCAGCAAGACCATTCTTATCTCCTTTTGACATGAAGATTGAAATCTTCAGAGTTCCCTGACAATGGGATTTTTTTTGACTACAACAAACAAATAGTCTTATGCTGGTGGCTGTGGGGCTCTGGGAACAGAAATCTAAAAAAACAAATTCTTTCCATCTCTGCCTTGGCCCTTCCAGATGCAATGGACTGGTGCTTCTATTATGCTGGTTGTAGATAATGGGAGTAGTAAGTATTCTAACACATCTGAAGGGCATCAGTCACCTGTATGTTTTCTGAAGGCATTTGTTTTACCCAACCAATTTGACTTTTCCTCCCTGTATCTTTATAATTTTAGTATCGAAATCCAAGCAACCCATTGGCGCACTATGACACGACAGCAGAAGAGATTCTGGAGCAATGTGATGGTATAATTAAGATTCCTTCCCACACACACACAATATAATATTATTAAACATCCTGTTAGAAGATAATTATTATGTTTTGTTTACCTAGAATGTCTTTAGAAATCATGGTTATTGTTCACCACTGAAGTGCTTTTTTCATAATTTTAACTGAAGCATGAAAACCATGAGGTACACACATTACGGTCTTGTAATTATTACCCTTTTCAATGACCCATATTGTCAAATTAGTGGATTTGCTTACAAGTACAATTTAGCACCATACTATAACATTCTATCCCTATTACTTGTATGTTTATTAGTAGCCCAACTCGGTCTCAGAACTGTATTAATTTGGCACTTGCTGCTGGGAATAGGGAGTGATAGAAACAAATGAGGTATTTGTAGCTGTCCATATTCCTGTGAGTAAGGCCAGTTCTACTGTTAGATAAGCACCTTAGGTACAGATGCTATGAAGAAGCCGTAGCAGCTTCCTGACCTGAGTGCTTTGGCCACTAACCCCTGTATTGGATGACGTAGCTGTGGGAGGTCATGTGACCTCTCTTATACCCTCCAAACTATGGTCTTCTGTTCTCAGTAGATGATGAAAGACCCTGTTCCATTGCTTGTGTTGAAGAATCAACTGCCATTGCAGTTTGTGTCTTTATGTGGAGTTGGGGTGACACACCATCTTGTCCTTTGTCTCAGGAAGCAAATTGCCTCGGGTCAGCCCTGCCAGGGCAGTATCTAAGAAAAACACAAACATGAAAAAAAGTGTAAGATCCACTTTACACTTTTTTTGCAGCAGCTAGATTGCCTTGGTAATCACAGCAAATATATGAAGGAGAAAGGAGAACAACATATTAAACATGCTTAGAAAGAGACTCACCAAGAAACTGTGATATATCATGAAAGTAGGGCTGATCTTGATTCAGACATCATCGTGCCGAATGCTTGTGCTTCTGTTCTTATGATCAGTAAGCCAGGAATAATATTTTCTAAGAGCCGGTATAAGCTTTTTGAAGTGTCAGAGAAGGCATGTGTCCTAACACTTTCTTTCTCTCTCTTTCCCCACTTCCTTAATTACAGGCAAAGTTGATATGTTTGTGGCTGGAGCTGGCACTGGAGGCACTATCACTGGCATTGCCAGGAAGATGAAAGAGAAATGCCCTGGATGCAAAGTATGTGAAAGACTTCTTGGCCGTGGCCCTAGGGTTGACATCACCTCTGTGGTGGTGCTCACTTCTATTTCTGTTCTGCTTTGCACATATTTGTAAATGAACATACAGTATATATAAATGAGCAGAATATTATAAGGACAGCATTAACTTCCAGTGCTCTGTCTCTTCCAAATGAAAGTTTTCCTACTAAAGCTCCTATAACACTTGTCACAGGGAGAACATAAGATGCTGTTAACTTTTATGTTGTTCAGAAATGTACTCTTTCTTTTTTTAAAAAAAAATGATAAATTCTGATTAAGTGGTCCCTCTTTCTTCACAGATTGTTGGAGCAGATCCTGATGGCTCCATTGTTGCTCTACCCAGTTCCCTCAACACAGTGGCACCAGAGGATACGACAATGGAAGTAGAAGGGATTGGACATGACTTTATCCCAACTGTCCTTGACAGATCTGTAAGTGGCAGTGTCACCAATGGCAGGAGAGTTGGGGAATTGTGAACATATTCATCATTATTTGTATTTGAAGTTATGAAGAGTCAACTTCAAGATCTGCACAGCCTTCATTTAAAATGAGAATGGCTGATTCTTTGTACACAGTTTCATATTAGCAAAATATACACTGATGTGACAGCATAAGGCTACAATGCTACATATATCGTCTCAACCAGAATGGGAAGTTATGTTTTTTGAGTGTACCTCCCCAAATCACTCATGTGATCTATGGGATTCTGAATGTCATTGTCCCATACAACAATAACAACAACAACCTTTTCCAAGCTCTTCATTCAGTAGATTTAAAATCATAATTCTGGAAGAGATTTGGGAGTCAGCAATAGCATCTTATTAAATAATCATTTTTAGAAAACTAAATTTCAAGGGGGAAATGCCTATAGTAGATGTGATATCAAGCGAACTCTTCTGGGATGCCCAGTGGGGGATTGAACCCAACCTCTGGCTCCACAGCCAGATACCTAACTCTCTGAGCTGTGATCATAGCAGCATGTTAATATCTCTGCAATCTGTGTCTGTAGTGGAAACAGGTTTTAAAACAACAGCAACAGCCCAATACTATACATGCTTACTCAGAAGTAATCCTCACTGACTGCAATGGGATTTAGTCTCTAGCATGTACAGAGAGGATTGCAGCCTAGCTGAAAGTGATCTGAGAAAGGCTTCTCATAGTGCTTTAGCAGCTCGTTGTGTGCATTTGCACTCCCTAAATTTTAGAGTGATGCAGCTGCCTCTCTTTGCAGATGCCGGCTACAGAGACTGGCAAAATATGAGGAAGAAAAACCTCAAGAACACAGCCAAACAGCCTGAAAAACCTCCAACAACCACTCTTGCAAATCCTTTTCACCACAGATTACAGACTGGT